TAGATAGATAGATAGATAGATAGATAGATAGATAGATAGATAGATAGATAGATAGATAGATAGATAGATAGATAGATATTGAGGCCACACAAAGGCTCTGAGAGGGAAATGGAGTCTTTAGATCTGAGAATAAACATTGAACTGGGAACTTATTTGATATTCTATGTATTATTTGGGCACCCAGTTTGAACATTTACTTACACAAGCATTTTAGTTTAACTCCTTTTAGCCTTTAGCTACTGTTCTGCTTCTTTTAGCTTCAATAAGGKTTCAACTTCCTCAGTACATTTCAACATCATTCAGCACCCAGCACTTCCACTGTATTTTTGTAAAAAAAAGAATACAATTYATGAAATTTAGTGTGTATCTGTAAAATTAAGACAACAATAAAACAAAACTGTGGTTTTTAGTTCAAAAACAAGTAAGTTTTAACATTTAACAAAAGTAATGATTTCATGTAGAAGTGTTGCACATGAATAGAGCGTCACATATTTCTGCGTGTCATTCAGCTCTTCTTCTGAGTCACAAAATGTTTTTAAAAAATTGAGCAGAGTATTCCTGCACAGTTAAGCATGAAATGACATGCAAGTTGGTGCAGAACGTTTACTGTTTAAAWTGTGTTCTGAAATACAAAGCTTGCTCATCATCTTTTCATTCTTGCAGCACAGTTTTTAAAAAGGCGTTTCTTGTTTGCAAGATTAACCAACAGGTTCTTTACTCAATATTTAATCCTGAGTTTTGGGATGAAATATACAGTATATATTGTCCGCCCAAAAAAATGCCTGAATGTTTAAATCGAATCCAAAACACATTGCACAAACCGACACCTTTCCAGTATACATATTGTTTTAAGTTATTGCTCTAATAACTAACTTATATCAGAGCTTTATGGTRAGACAGTAAATCATTAATTTCCTCTTGCACTTCCATTCTTTTAGAGTAAAGTTTATGAACTGGATTAACCTTATTTTTTAGTTCATCTAGATGTCGAAAACTTAATTAYTTTTATGCATCTAGAGGCAACTAGATATTTGCCTAAACATGTCGGAGAAAGGTGCTATACAAATAAAGTTTACCTACTTACTAAAACTGAGAATTTATTTTAAAAGACCTAAATTTTACACGATCATCAAGGTTGTTCTCTTTTATTAGTGAAGCGGAGCTAGACTTTTATGCAAGGMGTGGCCAAGTCTTTTTCAGGGGAACACATACATATAAAAAGTAAATTGTTCTGCTTTTTCAAGTCCCTACAGAGTCCAAAGTGCTTCACACTATAGGCTGACGGAGGAGAGGCCACCATGCACCTGCATCGTTGGACCCTCTGATCACCACCAGCAGGCAAGGTGGGTGAAGTGTCTTGCCCAAGTAAATAACGACTGAGACAGGTGGAATGGGGGATCAAACCCCCTATAGCCCCTACTGCCACAGCTTAAAAAGCATAGAGGATATTTATGAGTGAAATACACTGGTGATTTATTTTTAAACAAAAATATTAGTGTCTTTACAAACCTCAAATACAAACCAATAAAAATGTGTCTACATTTACTGTAATTGTGTATATTTCAAAGCCACATACAGTGACTTGTCAATCAACTGGGGGTGGCCAGTTCCAGAGGTTTCAAGTGCCACCCTGGCCACCCCTCTGGCTCTGTCCCTGCAACTATRGCAAAACAACAGCTGTCCAGAAATTCAGCTGACTAAACACAGACAAAATGAATAATCATATCATTCTTTGTATAAATGCATATTGTTCACTGCCATTCATGCCAGAGCTTGAAACTAAAACTATACGATCAACGATGGTTGCTGTACAGCCACAGTGAGGAACCAAGTAGTCAAGACACAAAGGACACAGAGAGGGGGAAAATATGAGTTCTTTTTGATCCAACAAACTTCAAATGAGGGAAGAATCTAAATAATCAACTTTATTCACTTACTGAGGAAGTTGTATAAAATAGGTAAACTAAATATACTCAAACATTTAACTTAGAAATGGCAAACTGAACGTACGAGTAATTTAACTGCAAACAGACCTAACAATAAAACAACAGACTCTTTCATAAAACAGTTCTGCGAAACGAGTGAGCAGAACAGAGCAGTCTGTGTTTATGCTTTTTTCAGGCCATTCATAAGTCACAGATGGAGCCAGGGCCCATACAGGCCTGAGTTGTCAGAAATGAAGTGGACTTCGAGGAACCAAAAGAGGTGTGGAGCAGAACTTGGCTGCGTTAAAGGTGGAGTTCAAAGCATTACATGTGAAACCAACATCTCTCTTGCAAAGAAGTTAACTCAGTTCACTGATCCTCATTGTGTTTAAGTTATTTTTTAAAAAACTGAATACAAAGTTT